ATAAGAAAATGTTTATTAATAAATATATTTCTAGGTATTTATGTCAGCTGTTGAAGCTCCTCATCCCGGAATGTCTTACAATCCTAGTGTAGCTGATCACAGAAATTTATTAAAGATAATAGTTGATAAAGAAAAAGAATTAATCAAACAAGAAGTGTGCATTTGAATCGTGTTACATCAAAAGTGAGTTTTTTTGTTTGGTGAATATATATATAGATATATATATAATTATATATTTATTTTTTATACATTTTTTATACATTTTTTATAGTTCTTCAGAAAAGTTTCACCTTCGCAAAAAGAAAAGGACATGTTAGCAGAAATGTCTGAAGGTTTACCAAAAACCGTTCTTGCCAACGGTGCTGATAATGATGATAAATCTGAAAGTTCAGAATCTGAAAATGATGAAAATGGAAATCCAGCAGTAAAAAATAAGAAAAAAGATCTTAAGCAAAAAAGAAAAGCCAAAGAACAGAGGATATTGAAACTTCAATTGAGAAAGGCACGTGTAGAAAAGAAGAAAGTAGCCGATATTTACAAGTAAGACTTAATTATTTTTAGCTTTACATCATGGCTTGCAAGTTTCTTGCAATAATTAAAAAATTTTTGATATAAAAGTTTACAATAATTTAAGTAAGATTTACTAATTTTATCTTTTTATAGACTGAAGAAATTAGCACAAAAAATAGCAAAAGCTGAAGAAATTGAAAAGAAAGTTCAAGAAAAACGTAAAATAAAACAAGAAGAAAAGTCAAAGGGAACTAAAGTTCTTGGAAAAGTTAAATTCGAAGAACCTGAATTAGAATTCAACATGAAAAAAGAAATTGCTGGTAACTTAAGAAATGTTAAAAAGGAAGGTTAGTATCTACTTATCACTTTTATACTCTATTATTTATTTATTATTTTATGCATTTTAAATTGTTGTTACAGGAAATCTTCTGTTGGATAGATTTAAGAGCTTACAAAAACGTAATGTCATTGAACCCACAGTTTCTCAAGGACTCAGAAAGAGATCTAAAGTTAAGCGATTTACCAAAAAGTCACATCAAGATGTATAATGTGTTTATATATTGTTTTACATTAAACTTAATGAAATATAAAACAAAATAACATCTAATATGTGTTTAAGCTTTTCAAAGACACCAGATGAAAAATTAAAACAGATTGCTCTTATGCACTTAATGGTAATATTTGCTTTTTAATTTTATTCTTATACTCATATAAAAATTTTGATTGAATTCTTTATGATGACAATACAAATGTGAGTTTGAGCAAATCAAATTGTTGGCAAAGTAAAATATCTTATAGAAGCAAAATAAGTATATTTATATTTATAAAGTTCTTATAATTACGGTGCATTATGGACTACTGGATAATATATTGCATAAACTTGCTGATTGTCTTCTTGCTCCTTATTATTATTATTATTTTGCTTATTATACTCTTTCTTAGAATGCTCTTCACTATTATTGCCACTATGTTGGCTATGTTCTTTCTCAGAGTCTTCATTGGTTAAGTGATTGTATTTCACATTTTCACTGAATCCTATAATATAGTTTTTGTGAAATGACTTTCAAGATAATTTATTTTAAAAGAACTTACCTTTGTTGTGTTCGTGATCACCTTCTTTTTTCGATTCTTCTTGTTCATGTTTACCACTTGTACTACCACCATGAAAGTTTTTAGGAGTTTTTTTTGTGTGATAAGATTCTTCATAGTAACCACCATCTTTTTTACCTCCAATATCTGAGTGCTCGCTATTTATTTTTTTATAAACACTTCCCTGTGATAAATATATAAAAACTGCAGAATGTATATATATATATATATATATATATATATATATATGTTTAACAAGAAACATAAATTTATATATAACAGCAATTTTAATTTGTTCATTGAGGATTTCTTCAGAATGCATCTTACCTCGTCAGTAATTTTTATGGTCTCAGAATTTCCTTTTTTCCTCACTTCACCATAACTGCCTTCCTCTATCAGAGGCAAAACCTTATTGTAGCCTTCACTTATCTAAAAAAGTTTTATATATTTTTACAAAGTATCAGAAACATTTATTCGATAAAATGTATGTACTCACATGAAATTTGGTATATTCATACTTCCCACCATCAGGTTTGGTCTGGTGCTTGTGTTCAGCGGGGGTTGGTGATGGGGGCACAAATCCATATATCATCGGGGGAGGAGTCACCATGATTTCCTTTTCTTTCTCAGTCACTTCGTATTTGTGCATGTAATTATTGTTATCTATTTATAAAGAATAATTGTTCTTCAGTTTAATATTGAACTTGGATACAAATTTGAGATTATTCTTAAAATAAAATACAATGCTTGATGCTGATATTTTTCTCCTTACCATTATTTCTTATCCGATACAATTCTGAGATCAATTTATCGGTAACATCAGATGGTTTTATTATGTGCTTGTGCAGATGGTAATGTTTCTTCGGTTCTTCTGGTTTCTCGTTTGATTTTCCTCCTATGTGATGGTGAATGTGTTTGTAAATGGTGTTTGTGTGATGCAAATGCTGCACTATTTCTGGTACATACACGCGAATATGAAGCCTGAAATAAAAATAATAAATTATTGATATAAATATTACTAATTAAATTTTATAAACCCATTAACAATATATATATATATATATATATATATATATATATATATATAACATACCTTGGTTTCGAAATAACTGTGTCTACTAATATAATAAATAAAAATACAGCAAATGATTGTGAAAACATTTTTGACTTTTAAAAAATTGAATACTATAAATTGAATTTTTATTATTGTATATATATAATTAGTTGCATTTTTGACAACACATATATTTCTGATAATTTTATTCAATAAATTGCATATATTATTTAATTATTTATAACTTAGTGTTATCATAAAAGTATATTGAATTAATCAAATTTATGATTCTTTTACTAAAATTATTTAAATCAGCATAATATTTTTATATATATTTTTTATATTATATATTCAATTCAAAGTTTATATTTTGACGAATGATATAAACTCTTTAAGATTATATAAAGAAATGATTTTATTTTATAAATTCTCTGCAATATATAATATTCTCATACAAATACACTTAGAAAATTCTATTAAGAAAATGATATAGTGAATGTGAAACAAATAGACAATGAGCTGAAGATTTTTTTAAATAATATTGTGAAATAAATGAGGGTTAATAGAATATTAATTATAAGGGTAAATAAAACGTTTATATAAAGAAATTCGTATACTGACTTTTGAAAATTCAAAAAGAGTTCGAAAAATATTAAAATTTTTCAATCGCACTTGAATTGTTTTTAGTGATGGTCCACAGAGCAATTTTTTGTTTGTTTGTGTCCCGGAAAAACCAAATGCCAAATTAAAAAAAAAAGTGTATTTGAAAGACATCAGTCTTCAAATTTATAAACTAAACTAGAAACAAATTAAATACATCGTTTTTGCTTAATTAAACTTTTTAATGAAATCTAATTTATAATTATATTCCTATTGCTTTTATTTCTCATTTGACAAAGACTTAGAAATTGATAATTCTAAGAAGTATGTTTTGATTTGTTATAATTTTGTGATAATTATATTATAATTTATTTTATAATTTATATGTTGTTTTTTGTCGTCAAAATATATTATACATTAAATGTGACGAATCAAAAATTAAAATTGGCAATTATTTAAACAAATTAAATTACCAATAGCTAATATAAAAAAAATCTTTTAAGCTAAAAAACTAAAAATGAGTAAATTTGTTACTAGTCTTCTTATTAAAAACAATTTACTAGTTTCGTCACGTAATTCTGTGGTCAAGTTTAAATGTTATATTTAGTTCCGATACCTGTGATTGTATATATATATATTTATATAATATATATATATATATATATATATATATATGTGTGTGTGTGTGTGTGTGTATGTCTAATATCTGATACATTTATAAACAGGAAGTATTTTTATTAAGTATTATAGGAAATAGAAATATGGCAAGAGTTTTTAAGAAATTTCTCTCCTCTAACATTTGTTATTGATCCGTTCACAAAGTTAATTTTATATGTTATTGTCTATGATATATTGCATTCAAATTTTGTATCTTGTACAGTTTTGCTCATAGAAATTATTTTTGTTTTTCTGATTGCTGAAATAAAGTGAAATAAAATAAAAATTGTATCTGAATTTATTGAAAGTTAAAATACTTACCTTTAGAATGGAAGTACTAGTCGTAAGACCGCAAAATTTTAGTATTATTAATTATTAGTATAATTAATGTCTTATTAAAAAAAATTCAACAGCTTACAAAGAAAATGCTCGGCCGATCTATAGCCAAAACTAATCAGCACGATTCCCAAATATCTTTCGAATAATTTTTTTAAAATTGATTCCGAATTATTGGCTAAAACGGAGAATTGGATTTTTTATGAAAACAATTTTTTCTGGAAAGTTAAAAAACGTGTTCATAATATAAAAATAATAATAATATAAAAAACATCAATTATATCAAATTCTAAAAGGAAGTTTCAATGTATTCCAACATTCATGTAAGGAAAGCATATACAAAAATTTAATTGATATATACAGCGGTATTTGAATAATTTTTTAAATCCAAATTAGTAAATAAAACTCAAGGTAATATAATAGTTTCAACAATTTTGTGAAATAATTCCTTGCCAATTTTTTAAAATTTGTAAATAATTAAAACAATTATTGTTTAAATGTATATTGTTAAATTAATTGATTAAATCAATCACTTATTTTACATTTATACTCAGACACGTGTTTCCTTTTCAAAAATGTCATATTCCGTTATTTTCAAATGTATCAATAACAAGAAAGAAAGTTTGAAATTCGATTTTAATTTTTGTTTAACCGGTTGCACCAAGGTCTGTTATTAAATAAAGAATTATTTACAACATTTAAAGAAAAACTCTCATTCCAAAACATAAGTTTAAAAAAATCGATTTATTACGATTCTTATTTTTATGTCATTCAGTAATCATAACATTCAATGCACATGCGATTTCCGTTTTAATGTCTAAATTTAAAATATTTTTAAAAACATACAAACGTAGTTTTGCATGAATAATATCAAGTTGAAAAAATATCACACAAATTTTATTTAGTTTATTCAACGTGCATAAGTAAATAGTATTTCAAATTTCGCGCATTTTCTTAAATATTTATTACTGTCATGTTGTCAACATTACTTTATGCTTTCAAGCGGCCACTCGTGGCCGCCATTAAAAGTGAAAAATAAACTTCAATGTTATTGTCAAATCTAATAGTTTTAAGTAAAATTCGTATTTAATCTAAAATGAGTAATAATGATTCGGATGGTTGTGAAGATGGACAAATTGTTTCGCCTCCTAATTCAAATGATAATGATTTTAGGTTAGTATGAATGACATTTGCATTTATGTAAAAATTATATTAGTCAATTAGAAAATCAGAATGTTTTTCGAAAAAACTATTATAAATTAGATCGGAGTTGGTTTCAAAATGTATAACGTATATTGTTTAGGTACATATTCTTTATGTTATATATAAGATGAGTTGAAGACCTTGGCGAAAAATAAGGTTATAGTTTATGCATTTGTTAATACTTGATTTTATTGTTCCTAATTTATTTTATTCTTATATCTAAGTCTAAATCATATTATAATACATGTATATCCATTTTAGTGCTAGTGTGTGGAGTTATAGTTGAATTTAAATCTTACAACTGTTCGAACAAATTTCAGCTTATCTGAGGAAGACATAGAACATGATGCTTCCTTGCATATAAAACCACCACAGTTAATTTCATCACGAAGTCACAAACTATCTAGGAAAAAACATTCCCATGACAAACACTCAAAATTAAAACACAGTAGTAGAAGGCACTCTATGAAGGATAAGGATAAACACAAACGACACAGATCCGGAGATATTGAGAGTAGTAATCCTGATCGAATATTAGAAGATTTGCGATCTAGACTGCTAGATAAGCGCAATAGGCATAAAGTACAGTCTCACGATGAATATAGAAGGCCAACAAAAGGTAGCAGTCAACATGATTTGGATCATGATGATAAAAGGCATAAAAATTACAGTAGGGACCTTGAAGAGCATAGAAGACAACGTGATAAACCTGCAGAGTATTATGAACGTAAAAGTAAAAAAGAAATTGATATCAAATCCAGGGATTTAGAAAATGAGGATTACAGAAGGCAAAGTAGAGATAAAATGAGTATAGATATAGATTATGATCTTGATAAACGACACAGCAGATATAAACCTAATGTAGTGAGAGAAAAAAGAAACTCTGAAGGTGAATCTGAACATAATTATGAGCAGAAGAGGGATAAAACAGAAATGGAGACATATAGGCACAAGGAAAAAACAAATCTTGTTCGTGATGTTGAATATGATGAAAGAAGAGATAGGTTATTAGTTGCAGAAAGAGAAATGCTCAGGTTAAAAAAAATTAGTCGTATGGAATTGCTAGCTAGGCGGGAATTAAAAAGTAAAAAACTATTAGAACATGAAGAAGCATCATCTAGGAAAAAGATGAGACGATCTAGTCAGGATAGCTTAGATAAAGGTAATTTATAGAAATGCATATATATATTCAGTATAATTATACTATTTACTTGAAATTTTAAAAATAATTTTAGATTCAAAAGATGTTACTGTAGTAATGGTATCTGATGACACAGAAGAGGAAATGGCCAATTCGAACTATGACTCTGATCATAGTAAATCAGGTATGTTGATTAAGAATTTTAAGAATAGTAACAATAATTACTGCTGAAAGGTCTCATCTTCATTTAACAGCACTAGTGTTTATTAATTACTAATTATTACATTTACACGGTTTTGTATATTTTATCTATAATAAGATTTTAAATAAATAAATATAAAAATAAATTTTTAAGTCTATTTGATATAATTTTATATTAGAATCTTACGATGTTTCAGATGACAGTGAAGAAGAAGCTTCAGAGAATACAGATGATCATTCTGATGAGAAACGTAAATCCAAGTAAGAATGCTATTTTCTTTTAATTAAAATTCTATTACAAATGACTTTTTCATTATTATTGAGTATATGTAATATGTTCAATAACATTATGTGTATTTTATATTACAAAGTATCAATTAATGAAAAAAAACATAGATTCACTATATGAAAGTTTATTGTGTCTCACTAATTAAACTTATGTAATATTAGATTGTTTCTCTAGCAACTGTGCTTGACACAGAAGAATGAAATATGACTTCCATAATCTGTATTGCAGTTCGAGATCAAGATCATGTTCAGAGTCTGATACGAGTTCAGAGTCCAATGATGAATCTCATACAGAAATACAAAAGGACGATGATGATATTCAAATGGAAGATTCAGAAAAGAAAATTGAAAACACAAAGACAGAGAATGAAACTAACAGTCCAAATACTAATAACATTGCTAATAATAATGCAGAGCACGAAAAAAACAGCGAAGCTGAAGATTTGACAAAATTTCCACCATACTATCCAGGAATACAAGGCTGCAGATCTGTTGCTGAATTTCAATGTTTAAATCGAATAGAGGAGGGTACTTATGGAGTTGTTTACAGGTTTGAAAAAGCTGTGGTGCTAAGTATTTTTTCTTGAAATATTGTTTTTCAATCTTGCTTTATTTTATCATTTATATTTTAGAGCAAAAGATCTTCGAACAGGTGAAGTTGTCGCATTGAAGAGATTGAAAATGGAGAAAGAGAAAGAAGGTTTTCCAATTACTTCTTTAAGAGAAATTAATACATTACTGAAGGTCAGTATAGT